TACCTCTCACCACCTTCACTGCAATCAAAATCAAGGAGCAGAATGCCTGGATCCATCACTCTCGAGTGAAGAAAGCCCTAGAAGTCCCTTGGAGAGTGATACCAGAAGAGAATGAACTGAGACTAAAACTTACTCAGACAAAATGAGTATATTGCGGTCGGGGGTAGCTCATACTTTAGTTTACAGAATTGTTTTGAATGTAATTATAACTGAAATTTTAGAGCTAGAGAGTATCTCTATCCAAAGCAATGCTGAATGGTCTTAGTCCCAGGTGTTTAATCAGTATACTGGATCCATGGGAAAACCTTCTGAGACAAAAGATTTAAACCTATCCACTGTAGTAATCCATGGGAATCAAGTATATGAGAAGCAGGAATGGCAGGAGCAGGAACTGTGGACACTTCAAGGGATGAGAGGAGAAGAAATCAAGGTAGGGTGCTGGATGATAAATGGGACGGCTTATGAGAGACCAAATGAAATTAGTGTCTCAACCTCTCCTGGTGTATATGAACACCAAGAAGTCTGTGATAGCCTGAATGAATCAGACTGCTGGTGTAATTTCACCTTAATACAGCCTGTAGAAATAACTTGCCTTTGGGCTCAGGATGATATCGAACTTTCATTTAAATTCAAAGTAGACACTACACTTTTTACCACAGCAGGACCTAATACAACCCATACTAAGACTCAAATAGTTCAGACTCAACCCAGACTTGAACCTGAGGTGTATGAAATAGGCCCCTACGTAGTGAGGAATGTGGGTGAACAACAACTACTATTCAATCCAGAATGGTCTCTCAAATGTGTGGAGTTGATGATGCAAATTAACTTCTCAAAAATCCAACCAGCCTGCTCCTCCTTCTTAAAAACTTCCTTTGAGGGCTGGACAACATGGTTACAAAAACAGGCATATCTCAGGAGCAGAACAAGAAAGGATCTAACTGGCATATTAGGGACAGGATTAGGAGTTTTAAATGGAATTGATTCAGAAATACTGATTAATAAACTGGCCACTGCAGCAGGTAGCCTAACAAAATTGAAGCAACCCTTACAGTCATCCCTACTGGCATTAGGAACTAGCCAGTGGCAGATTTCAAAAGTACTGCCAAAGTAAAGAAGTATGAACAGGCCGGGGACCAAGACCACAAGTTAATAGTAGAAGCACTTAGTACAGTTCAAGATAATGTGTCTTTAGCTTTCAGTTGCATACAAGCACAGTTATGGATGCATGCAACAGCAGCTCTGATCATACAGGAAAGGGGTGAAGGTAATTTTCCAGCTGAAATTCGGAAGATTGTGTGGGATAATGCAATTGATTTTGATAGGAAGTTTCAATCCTGGTGGACTGTGGTGAATTTCACCTATGATCCTGCTTCTAATGTGGCCACTGCCCTTGTGCTCACCATATATAATGCCACTGTTTATGTTATCCATCCCATCATTGCACTAAGATTAAACCATGAAAAAACAATACTCTATCCTTCAGAACATAGAGTATGGGCACGAAAAGATGAATGAAAAGTGGCAGACAGTAAACTTAGAATCCTGCATTACTAGAGAACAAATGAGATTCATTTGTGAAAGCAATACTATTAATGCCCAAGATGTGTGTCTAGACACTGAACAGAGTATTTGCCACTTTGAAATTCATCCAGTCACTGACCAGAAAATTGCGCTCATATATACTGAAAAAGGGGGGTGTATGCCTGAGAACTGCCTGTGCTGCTGTAAAAATTGATTGCAATGATGTTATTTTGTCTAGTAGAAATCATTCTAATTTCTGTATTTGTAATTTTGTTAAGATTATCTGGTGTGATTTTTTGTACTCAGCCCCAGTGACATCCCACCAGCTGGTTAAAACTAATTATACAATGTATCACAGATTATCACCTACCCCTATTGGGATGGACCTTACATTGGTAAAACAATTAATTAAGCACCAAGACCTACTGGAAATCTTGAAAGAAATCCAAGAAAGTAGAAAGAGAACCTTAATTACCGTCCAACATGATACAAAAGAAATAACTAGAATTCTGCAAAGAATAGAACAAAATGCAGATCATCACTTGTGGGATGGGGTCTTTAGGTGGTCACCAACTACAAATAGAATCCTTAATAAGTTGTGTCATCCTACTCTAGTTTTGTTAATATTAGTTAAATAAGTTCAGGATTATCCATTATCAAATGTTCATGGTAAAGCACTAAAGTACACTTGTTGTCATAGGAATTTGTATGAAGTAAAAGAATTTACTTCCTCCTTTTAGGAAAGGGGGAAATGAAGCAAAGTGAAAATTTTGCAGGATAGAAATCCATTTTAATTTAGGTGAAATGTACATTTTTGAGTTGAGTCTGTGGTTGGAAATCGTAGTTATTTAGCCAGGCTGCAAGGCCTAAGCTCAGTGAAGTTAATTCAGCGAAGGACAGAGATAAAGGGGAGGAGACAGAAGATGATAGAGAGAGACAGGGGCTGCTGTAAGGGCAAGTCAGCCTGACCTCGGAATTCTTTCTGATAAAAAGGAACTAGTGGTAAAAGTCACAAGAAACCCATAAAAATGAATATGTATGAACCTATTGTGAAACTGTATGCATATGTATTTGAGAGGGGGATAAAAGGAGATCTGAAGTTCTCAGAGGTACGCATGCCTTTTGAGAAGAGTTTTCTCCGCATGTGTCCGGCGCCGCAAATAAACATACCGAGCTTTACAACTTTTACAAGTTGTGAGGTTTCTTCTTTTCTCCGCAAAACAGTCTGCACCTTCCAAATATCTCTGACAATGGGGAAAGGGAGTGGGAGATATGGGTGGGAAATTGAGGTAAAAAGAATGCTACATCGTCCAGCAATTTGAGACACCCATGGGGAAATTTCCTACGGCCTCTTCCTTTTTTCATGAATAAAATTACAGGGCACTTCTGTCTCCTTTCTGCAAGTAAACCTCTGGCAAGGTGAATTTTTCTGACCAAAATGTAAATACAGGAAATGTTTCATTGAATCCTGAGTGGTGTGCTTAGCTGCAGCCAGCGTCTCATCCACAAAATGACGGCTCTTTCCTTTATACCTCTGGAGCTGCATCAGCCAAATACATATCCATAAATAGTCATATATATTCAAACATTTTCCTTCTATATCCCTATCCCCTTCCAAAGTCTGCCAGTTGATCCTTCATTGCTGTCCATTGGTGAAGACCTTCCTGCACTCTGATTGGAAGTGAGGTGTTGCCATGCCACTCCTCCGCAGCAATCGGCATTCCCCATTCCCAACCACCCCATGCAAGGGGCACAGGTACATGTCCCTGAAAATCCTGACAACCACAGCTGTCCTGTAGCAACAATATGGGTGGGGGAAAGGGGGCAATGGGCAGAACACAGGGTGTCCAAACCACAAACTAAAATAACATAACCATACATCAACAAAACTTCTCTTAATATAAACACAATATTCATCCCTTAATTTTGAAAGCCAATCATCATATTACCCATCTATAACAAAGCTGTGGCTGCCCCACTCCTGGAACAGTTCAAGTTCAGGATGGGCTCTGCCATGAACAGCCTGGCCCAGGGCAAGATGTCCCTGCCCATGGCAGGGCTGGCACCAGACGGGCTTTAAGGTCACTCCATCCCAAACCATTGCAGAGCCCCCAGGGCCGGGATGGGGCAGGGCGGGTGCTCAGCAGCGCCAGCAGCTCGTGCTGCCGCCTGCTGTTGGCGCCCATTATCGCACAGAACCACTGATTTTCCCATGCTTGCTTCTGCCCTCCGGTGGACAATTCCTGAACCACAACTGCCAGAATCCCCAAATCCCAGCATGGGTGAGGCTGGAAGGATTCAGAGTGGGCACCTGGCCCAACCTTCCAGCTCAGGCAGTGTTATCCCTGAGCACAGGATTGGGCCCAGAGCAGCCCAAAAATGGACAAGGCACTGGGCAGAGCTGGACACAGCACTGCCAGATCGGGACACAGCACTCCTGATGAGGGTCACTGGGAAGGGCAGAGGGGTACAAACACTGCCTGACTTCCTGGCCCTGCCCTTCATGAAACACTCTGGAACCCTTCTGGCCCCAGGACACAAAACCAGCTTCACTAGTCACGCACCAGCACCCCCAGGTCCTTCCCAAGATCTGCTCCAGCAGGACCCTCCAGACCTGGACTGCCACTGGGGACTGTCCATCTCCAGGGACAGGACCTGCCCTTGCACTCTTGAACCTCCCAATTTCCAGCTTTTAACATCCCCATGAACTGCCCGATGTGGCAGGATGCTCTGCCTGGAATGTGGCCAAGGGACAATGCCCCATTTGTGTCCATCAGGTCTGTGCTGAGAGGGGTCTGCTGCTGATTTGGGTTATGAATTGGGCTAAAGCCAGCCCAAACCACCAACCCCTACTTGACAACTGAGGATGAAGTGCCAGAACTGGGCTTGGTCATCTACCAACTGACCCTGGAATATGCAGTCCCCTCTCAGACAGAGATTCCTCTCCCCTGTTCCTGCTTGAAATGAAATGTGTGTGAGGTTCCTCCCTTGGGAAGAGGACGCTCACCAGGGATCCTCTTCAAGGCTGAGAGAAAGAGGTGTTCCCACGAGTGTTGGTGTGTGGACTGACATTGAGCCCTGCATAAGAATTGTCACTTTTTGCTGGCTTTGACAGAATTATTTAATGAAATTGTTCTGATAGAAATTTTTAATAGAATTCCTTTGCACAGTGGCCCTGATGTGTGCAGTGGTCACAGTGGCTGTGGTGGCCTTGTGGCTCAGGGAGTCTTGGTGTTCACTGCAGCCTTGGTGGTTATACCAACCATGGTGTCCAGAGTGCCTGTGATGGCCGAAGTTACCTCATGGTGGCAGTAGCTGCCATGGTCATAGAGGCAGTGGTGGCCATGGTAGCCTTGGTGGTCTTGTTTCTCTGGGGGTCCTGGTGGCTTTGGTGATCAGGGTGGCCACAGTGACAACAGTGACTTTGGTTGCCATAGTGACCACAGTGACCTCAGTGACCTTGGTGGCTTCGTGGCTCAGAGGATCCCAGTGGCCACCACCAGGGCTGTGGTGGCCAGGAGAAGTCCTCTGAGGTGGAAGATGGACCTGGGGACGCTTCCACCTGGGGGACACAGAGAGAGGTCAGGGGGACCATGTGGGGAGTGAGGGGGTTGGGGACAGTCATAATGGGGTGTTAGGGGTGACTGGTGAGATGAGGCCCTGAATTGAGAGGTGACAAGGTGTTGGGGGGGGGGGGCACAGAAGGGTACAGGGGCCAGGGAGGTCAGGGGTGTCATGGTGGGCTTAGGGGGGACAGGGGTCAGGGGGAGTCAGGAGGTGCCATGGCGGGTGACAGGTGGCGAGAGGGGTTAAGGAGTCCCATGAGGGGTACAAGCCCACCCCTGTCCAGCACACAGGGCCCATCCCCACAGCACTGCCTTTGGTGGGGAGGGGCAGGGTAAAAACGGGGAATGGAGGGCCCTGTCTCTGTCCCTGTTGTTCCCTGGCTGGGCTTTCCCTGACCTTGTCCATTCCCAGATGTGGGGGTCCCCATCCCTGTTCCCTGTCCTGGGCTTTCCTGTCCCCATGCCCACAATGGGTCTCCCCAAGCTTGATGTCCCCAGCATGGGGTTTCCCTGTCCCCAAACTCTCAGTGAGTGTCCCACTCCCTGTGCCCTGTCGAGGATGTCCCCTGTCCACAGTATGTCTCCCCAGCACGGGGTGTCGCTGTGTCCCCACCCCCTGTGAGTGTCATTGTCACCTGTGCTTTATCATGAGTGTCCCCATGGATACAGTGAGTGTCCCCATCACCCCAGGCTGTTCCCTGTGGCATCACCTTGCAGCAACTCGCAGTTGTATTTGCTGAAAGTCCCAGTGGAGCGCAGGTGGATCTCTGCCTTGTCCCCTACCCGGGTGACTTCTGTGACCTCGAAGGTCTCAAAGGGTGGGATCAGCGCCCAGTCTTTTGATGGATGTACAGAGAAAAAGCTGATGTCCACGCCCTGACACGTGTGCACATGGAACACCGTCTCCTTCCCAGAGCACTCTGCAGTCGGTTTTCTCACCAGCATTCCCATGAATTGACCAAACCGGATGGTGTCGCCACGCTGTGCCTCAAACCGGACCCCACACACCTGCTGGAACATGTCATAACAGTCCCAAGGCAAGGAGCCCCTCAGTGTTGCAATGGCATCAATCAGCAGGAAATGCAGTGTCTTGAAGTGAAAATTGTCCCGGTATTGCTGTGTGGAGCGCCCAGCCACATGCACAGCATCATTGAAGATTCTGTCCAGGTCATCCATTGTGAAGGCCATAATGGCGGTAGCCTGGTCTGGAGTCAGCCAGGTCATAGGGGATCCCCGACTCCACCAATTAGCCGCAGCCTTGGCCCAGATCTGGGCAAACAGATGGTTCAGGTGGAACTCAGTGCAGTTCAGGGCCGGCAATGCCGCCTTCATGGCAGGGCCACAGCCCCTGTACTGGTCATCGAAGGAGTCTGGGGCCATGTCCAAGTGCTTCACCTCGTCGGCTGTGATGACCACAGCCATTGCCAACAGTGTCAGGGTCTGAGCCAGGGAAGCCATGGACGGGAGAGGCCACTGAGTCTAGTGTACAGGCTGGAAACACTGAGGGGATATGGAAGAGACACTGAGGGACACAGAGAGGACATGCAGAAGAAACGGGGAGAGTTCCTCAGTGAGGGACTGAGGAGAGACATGGGGTCATCCCAGGGGGAAGGGAGGCGCTCCTGGCCAGCAGACCCCTGAACATGTCTGGCATCCCTGATCCCATATCCTGGGGTTACTTATGCCTCCCCAATGTCCCTCAACCCCAGGAACCCAAATCGCAGTCCCACAGCACTGTGTCCTCCTGGCCCTCCGGAAGCCCAATCCTACTCCCATGACTACAAGTCCCCTCAGCCTCAGCAGGATCCTGACCCAAATCCTGGGGTCACTCCCTGAGCCCCCTGGTGTCCCCCTCAGCCCATCCCCAGATGCCAAACCCACCCACAGTCACCAATTTCTTCAGTATCACCCCAGGACATCAACCCAAATCCAGGCATCACTCCCTGTCCCCATGCTGTCTCCCAGCCCCCCCATGACCCCAGTCCCACTCTCACCATCCTGTGCCCCCCCCATTTTCCTCCAGAGCCCCCCATTACCCCAATCCTGCACCTGTGACTCCTCCAGAGTCCCCCCATGTCTGCAATCCCAATCCCTCAGTCCCGTGTCCCCCCAAGAGTCCTCAGGTGTCCCCCCACCACGATACCAAAATAGGCCAGAGTGAAGTCCTTGATGGAACTGCAGGCATCAGAAAGCCGGAATTCTATATCAGCTCAGACTCACAGTGGATCTCTCCTGGCCCTGCAGGTCACGGGGGAGTTCGCCACAGGGTCTTTTTCCACCACAATTATAAATATTCATTACAATGTGTCCCTCACCTAGAACAGAAACTTCACTTTTCTGAGAAATAATTTGCATGGTTCCGCCTCTTTCTGGAAATCCTTTTATGGTAGTGGAGAGTCCTAAAAATGAGTTTTCTCAGTGTGGTTTTCTCTGAGTGCTTCAATATCCCAGAAGACCTCAGCTTGAACTTTCACACTTGGCAGACACTGCTGCTCCTTCTGTGTTACAGAACTTGCCAAAAACCCCTCACATGACTTCCCTTTATCTCTTTCTCTTTGCTCTCATGTGCACACATTTTGCATTCTATTGCGGTTTTTTGCTAGTTCTTCTTTAAGCCCTATCCAGCACCATTAAGGGATCTGAAACTTTCTGTTCTCTCTCTTATTGTTCAGGCCCCATGACCCCAGTCCCACAGTCCCATGTCTCCCCAGTTCCACACCCACTCCCCACTGTTCACTGAGTTGCTGTCACATCTCAGATACCACTTGGGGTCCCCTATCAGATGACATGCCTGCAGGCACCTTGAGCCTGGAGATGATGTCTCAAAGGAGTACCTGGGTAACTTTCCTGTGTGGCAGGAGAAGTTCTGGACCTCCAAGATGGGATCCACCAACACCAGGAGATACCTGAGCCCAGGTTGTTGTGGTAGCTCAGAAAATCCATTTGCCACTTATCCCCAGAAGTGTTTCCTCTTTCAGCGATGCCTGGAGGTGATGGTTTTGAATTGAAAGGAACCTCTCATGCAGTTTTAATGCAAGTCTATTTCCCACAGGGATTTGTCAATCCCCAAGCTGGTGTGCCCTGGATTGTAGTACGGCCACTTCTTTGGGCAGCTCAGCTCAGCTCAGTCACCCAGGCACTGCCCCAAGAGATCATCCTCAGGCTCAAGGTGCCTACAGGGATGTCTGTTGAGGGATTGTTGCAGGAAAATGGACACTGTGCCCAAGCCAGTCTCTATGGGGTCTGAGTAGAATTTCACATTGTCCCCCATACCTCGAAAACAGGAAGAGCCTACTCAGGAGAAAAACAAGTCCAGGATGTGAGGCACACTGAGAAGACAGAGCAAAAAACCACAGCAGAGTGCATGAAGGCAAAACAATAAACCACAGCGAGATGCATGAAGAAAGAAGACTAACCAATCAGCTGAAGGCTTGAGACGCATGCATAGCCAGGCTAAACCAATCATGAAGTAGCTTGAGGCGAGTGAACAGTAGAACAAAGCATAAATACATTTTGTTCTTGTAATAAATTTGACTTCACTTGATCATAGTGATCATGGTGTGATGTCCCATTGCTGATCCTCAGCAGATGTCATCTGATCGGGGACCCCAAGTGGTATCTGAGGTGTGGGGGAACATGTGTTTTGTGGAGAAAAGAAGAAACCTCACAACTTTATAATAGTTGTAAAGGCCAGTATGCCTTTATTACGATGCGTGTCAGACGCACGCAGAGGAAATCCTCCTCAAAAGGCATGCGTACCCCTGAAAACCTCAGGTCTCCTTTTATCCCCCTTCCAAATGCATATGCACACAGTTTCACAATAGGTTCATACATATTCATTCTGCGTGACATTTATTGCCAGTTCTTCTTTATCAAAGGATATCCTAGGTCGGGGGCAAATTGACCTCGTGGTTGTTTCTGTTTTTCTTTCTCTGTCTCCTTGCTGTCTCGGCATGCGAGTTTTTCCTTCAGCTTTGGCCTCACAGACTTTTCATCACTGCTAGACACTTCACCTAATTCAGAATGGATCTCTACTCTGTCTCATGGGATGGTGGGATTGGAGTCCTGGAGGGTGAGCAATAAGAGAGAGAATAGAAATTTTTAGATGCCTTAATGGTGCTTGGTACACTTTAAAGATGAACGGGCGAAAAACAATAAAAGGATGTAAAAGCATGGACATAGCAGGACAAAGGTGGTTGTAACTGGTGGAGAAAGAGATAAAGGGAACTGCAGTGAGGGGCTTTTGTCAAGTTCTGTAACACAGAAGGAGCAGCGCCTGCCCAAAGTGAAATTTTGAGGCAAGGTCGTTAGGGATATTGGGGCATTCAGTGAAAACCACACTGAGAAAATTCTTTTTTAGGACTCTCCAGCACAATAAAAATTATTTCCTAAAATAGACAGAACCATGAAGATTATTTACAGGGACAAGTGGGACCCATTGGGGACCCCAAACCTTGGGTCAGGGTCCTGGGGGACATGGGGTTACTGAGAGGGATACAAGGGATTGTGAGAGGGATTGGGGTAATGGAGGCACTGGGAAACCACGGTGAGGGGGAGACAGGACTGGGAGTTGAACTGGGAGTCTGTGGGGTCACTGGGGTTACTGGGGAGAGTGTCAGGAAGTGACTCCAGGATTTGAGTCAGGGTCCTTCAGGGGGCTTGACAAGACACCTTGAGGTGGGATATAGGACTGTGGGAAATGGATTGGGAGCCAGTGGATCTGGGGGACCCTGGGGCATCGAGGAGTAACCCCAGGATTTGGGATCAGGTTTCAGGACATGTCCAGGGATTTCCCAGCCAGTGCTGCCACCACTCTCCCTGGGCTGACCCCATTGTCACTCCCCATCCCCTCAACAAGGAAGCCTCCCCATGTCCCTCAGAGTTGCCTCTTTCCCATCAGTGTTCCCTCAGCATCCCCTGGTGTCCTCCAGTGTCTCCGGTGTGTCACACAGTCTATCTTTTGTGACCCCTCTATGTCCCACAGTGTCCCACACTGCTCCCTATAGCCTCTCTTCTCCATGGCCTCCCTCGCTCACACCTTGGCACTGCTGGCAATGACTGTGGCCACTGCGGACACCAAGGTGGTGCCCCTGGACATGGCCCAGAACTCCTTTGATGACCAGTACCTCAACAGTGGCCCTGCCATGACTGAGGCCTTGCTGGCCCTCAAGGGCTCTGACTTCCAGGAGAACTAGGACTTTTCCCAGGCCTGGCTGAAAGCCATGACCGAGTGGCAGAAGGGGAGACTCAATTCATCCTCTCTGTCCCCAGACCAGGCCATTGTCCTCATGGCCTACACAATGAATGACATGTACGATCCATTCAACAAAATCATGCGCAAGGCTGGACACTCCCACCAGGAATACCAGGACAACTTCTACTTCAAAACGCTGCATTTCCTGCTAACCCAGGCCCTCCAGAAGCTGAGACACCCTAATGAGTGTCAGAACGTGTTCTGAGGGGTAAGAGGGTACCAGTTTGAGGTGAAGATTGGTGATAAAGTCCGCTTTGGTCAATTTGCTTCAACATCACTGGACAAAGGGGTCTCCCAGGATTATGGGAGAGACACAAGATTCAAGATGCATACAGGCCATGGTGTGAATATCCGGAAATTATTCTTCAGAGAATGTGAGAAGGAGATGCTGATCCCACCCTTCGAGCCTTCAAAGTCATTGATGTCAAGACAGAAGGAAGCATGTTGAACATTGTGCTTCACTCCACTGGGAACTCCAGAAACTACAACTGCGAGTGGCTACAAGGTGACATCTTGGGAACAACCTGGGGGGATGGGGACACTCAGTGAGGGCTGGGGACAAGGACACATGGTGCTGCAGACACCCATGGCCCAGAGGGGACAGGGACACACACTGTGGCTGGGAGGCAGGACACCCAGAGCTGGGGACAAGATCAAGGACAGCATTGCTTGGGCATAGGAGATAGGGACACGCAGTGCCAGGTGAGTGGAACAGGGACATCCATCGCTGGGGCTGGGGGGACAAGGTTCATGGTACATGGCTGGGTTCTGGGGAAATGGGCCTTCTAATGGCCCCCTCTGAACCCACACCCTCAGGGTCCCCCACTACCTCTGTCCCTCTCCCCGTGGCCCTCCTGATGCCCACCTGACCCTCTCACCCCATGATCCCCCTGACCCCTCTCTTTGTCCCCACAGGTGGGAGCCTCCCCAGGAACAACCCCAATCTTGGGGGGGCTTCTTCTGGCTACCATGGCCATGGCAGTGGCCATTGGAACCCTCTAAGCCACGAGCCCACCAAGGGGTGGTCTTGGAGGCCACTGTGGAAGGCCACCAGGATGAAGGCCATCAGGACCCCCAGAGAAATGAAGCCACCAAAGCTACTGAGGACATAATGACCACTATGGTCTGTTTTCCCATTGTGACCACTGTGGCCATTATTGTTACTCGGGCCACTGTGGCCACTTTGGCCTCTATGACCAATTTG